GGACAGCGAGATTCAGTCCATGTGTGACAATCAAGTTTGTAACTTGGTTGACAATGTACCGGGTCGTAAGTCGGTCGGGTGCAAATGGATCTTCAAGAAGAAGACCGAAATGGATGGGAATGTACACACTTACAAAGCGCGACTGGTTGCAAAGGGATTTACTTAAACTCCGGGAGTTGACTATGATGAGACCTTCTCACCAGTAGCGAAGATTAAATCTATTAGGGTTTTGTTAGCCATAGTTGCATTTCATGATTATGAAATATGGCAAATGGACGTCAAAACTGCTTTCCTTAATGGAAAGTTGGATGAGGATGTTTACATGAGTCAGGCAGAGGGTTTTGTTGATGCAAAGCACCCTAATAGGGTCTGTAAGCTTGAGAAATCCATCTATGAATTGAAACAAGCATCTCGCAGATTGAATCTTTGTTTCGATGAGAAAGTCAAAGAGTAGTGTTTTTCGAGAAGCAAAGATGAGTCATATGTATATGTTAAGGCTAGTGGGAGTATAGTTAGCTTTTTGGTATTGTATGTGGATGACATACTACTCATAGGAAATGACATCCCAACCTTGCAAAAGGTTAAGTCCTGGCTTGGGAAGTGTTTTGCTATGAAGGACCTTGGAGAAACTGCCTATATCTTAGGGATAAGGATATTGAGAGACAGGAGTAAGAGACTAATTGGACTTAGTCAAAGTACCTACTTGGATAAGGTGCTGAAAAGGTTCAACATGCAGGATACCAAGAAAGGTGACTTACCAATCTAGAGTAACACCAAACTCAGTAAGACTCAGAGCCCAAGTACAGAGGATGAGATAGCTGAGATGAGTCGAGTTGCATATGCTTCTGCTGTAGGCTCGATCATGTATGCTATGACTTGTACTCGACCTGATGTGGCTTTTGCTTTGAGCATGGTCAGCAGATATCAAGGGAATCCGGGCAATCACTGGACTATGGTGAAGAATTCTCTTAAGTACCTACGAAGGACTAGGGACTGGGTCCTTACCCTCGATGAGAGTGATGACTTGAGAGTAGTGGGGTATAATGATGTTGGTTTCCAGACTTATAGGGATAATTTCCGCTCTCAGTCGAGCTGGGTCATTACCCTAAATGGAGGAGCAATTACTTGGAAAAGTTCCAAGCAGGAAACGGTAGCTGATTCAACTTACGTATCAGATTACGTAGAAGCAAACGAGGCAGCAAAGGAGGCGATATGGCTAAAGAACTTCATTGAAGACCTTGGAGTTGTACCAGCTATTAAAGAGCCTATGGAGATTTTATGTGATAATGAGGGTGTAGTTGCCTTAGCTAAGGAACCAAGGGATCACGGCAGATTCAGGCACGTCGACAGAAAGTACCACTTCATTAGACATCGGATAGAAGAAGGACCCCTTGTGGTAAAGATGGTATCATCGGATGAGAACCCATCAGATCCCCTCACAAAGGGACTGTGTAGGGTTAAGCATTTACAACATGCGAGGTGCATCGGGTTGAAGGATGATATTAGTTTTACAGATTAGATAGCTATTTCTTAAACTTGTAAAATGTAATTGACATTTGATGATTAAATAAAAGTTGTTGTTTATTTATAAGTAAAGTGTTGCTATCTTGTGTCAATCGTTTACTATTGTTTCAATTTTGTATATTTTGACTTCCAGAATAATTATTTTATTCAAACCCTCCACAGTCAGTCATATGTTGGAAGTAGGTATGAATTAAGACTGTCATGAATCGGGCTTGTAGATGTCTAAGATGTTAGACATAGTAAAAGTTGCTACAACATTCATGAGTGCTCATAAGTTCTGAGTATTCGGGTTTTGTGTGCTTCATTCATAACCACATCTCTGTAACCACCGAACTTTGGTGTCTAGATCCGGTTCATGAAACAATAGACTCCATCACTTGTGACTTCGAATTGCCTTAATTTTTGGATTTCTGTACGTGTTTTGGGTGCTGACCAGTCCTGAATTGCCTTAATTTTGGATGGGTCCACGTGAATTCCCTCTTGACTGACCAGCTGACCTAAGAAGTATACGTTCCTGATCCAAAATTCACATTTTGAGAACTTCGCATATAGTTTCTTTGTTCTTAGAGTTTGTAATACTTGACGAAGATGTTGACCATGCTCCTCTTTGCTTCTTGAGTAGATAAAGATGTCTTCAATAAAGACTATGAAGAATTTGTCCAGGTACGGATGGCACACTCGGTTTATCAAGTCCATGAACACAGCAGGTGCATTCGTCAATCCGAAAGGCATCACTACAAACTCATAATGACCGTAACGAGTCTTGAAATCTGTTTTGGGAACATCATCTTCCAGAATTCGTAACTGGTGATACCCGGATCTTAAGTCTATCTTCGAGAAGTAGCTTGCACCTTGAAGTTGGTCGAACAGATCATCAATACGAGGCAGAGGATAACGGTTCCTAACGGTAAGTTTTTTCAGCTCGCGGTAGTCTATGCACATACGAAATGTCCCGTCTTTCTTCTTTACAAACAAG